GCTTCTCTTTAAGTTTTTTCAATTTGGGTGGGGTGACTGTTTAGAGTGGTCTTATACATTTTAGCAGGGGGTAGCCTGAAGGTTTTGCCTGATTCTTCCTATTGATAACGTTCAAATCACACTTACATATGTGCTCTTTTGGCTGCAAGTGTCAGAATTCCAATTTAAATTGGCTTAGGCAAAAAAGTTAAACTCATGATCACAGTACAGGATGCTTGCTCTGCTTGTCTCTCTGTTCTGACCATCAGCCTCATTCTTCCCTCTCACTCTTTCTCTGTATATTAGAAGTGTGACTACTGATACCTCCTAAGCTCTTCAGCTTGTATCGTTGGCTACCTGCAGAGAGACCATCTCAACTCTTGAGCCATAAGTCCAAGACCAATGGGAAAGGGCTCATTGGCTCAGCCTGGGTCACAAGCCTTCTTCTAGATCAGTCAACTGAACAGAGAGGAGGGAGAAATAGGTGTGAAGTTGTATCATATCATTGTAGCTCCTGAGAGAACAATTTAGATAGAATGAAGGAAAGGGGTTCTCAGAAGGAGGAGGGAGTCCTGAGAAAAGAATGGAATCTACGAGAGTATTATTGGGGGAAAAAATAGGAGACTAAGACTAGATGATGAATGAAGACTAATGTTGACGTTATGTGAGGTAAAGAGAGAAAAGGAGGTCTAGGGATTTCATTGAGAAAGTAAGGAGACATTCATATGAAACTTCAGATAAACAGGCATAATCAAAATGTCAACAAATATTATGCCTCACTTTCAAATACTTCAGTAAAAAAACAAATAGATGAAACACAAATGGCACAATGTAAAATATTAAAACTAGGTAATGGGTATATAGAGGTTCAGTATTCTAGTCTTTAATTTGAAAATTTTTCATCATAAAATGAAAAAATAATAATCAAATTCCAAAGTGGATTACTAAAAAGAAGTAAGCAGCATATAGGAGAAAGATTAGTCAACTCAGATAAAGAGATTTCATAGACTTACAGATATTAAAAATGAGAAGGCCTTTAAGATTGATCTGACAATGCTCCTTCCCCCTTATCTCTGCCTACTTGTGATCTCTCTCTGTCAAATAAATAAATAAAATCTTTAAAAAAAAAATCCTACAATGCTCACTACAATGCAATCTTTTAAGCTTTGCTCCTGGTTCTGCCACTAACAATGTGTGTTTGGGTAAATCACCAAAATTCTGTGAGACTTAGATATTTTTATGCGTAAAATGAGAAGACTGGTTTAGCTAATCTCAAATATTTTGCGCCAAACTTACTCAAAGCTAGCATTCAGGCATCAAATCCCTCAAGTGAGAAAAGAGTATAAAAAGGTGAGTCAGCCCTACTTGCCTGCTGTTCAAGACTCTTTTCTGCTCTGGCTGCAACTGAATTACTGTCCTCTACAGACTTTTTTTATCTCCCTCTACACACTTTTCACCCCAGTCACTTCTTCTGTGCCTGGAATATCTCTCCTCCCATCTCTAACTCATGAAATCCTATTGCTCTTATAAAGGTCCATTCCCGAAAGTTATCACTTTCATACTATCTTACTGAATTCCATAGGAAGATTTGACATCTCTCCTCACTAAATCCTATATTGCTTTTTGAACTTGTCATGTGGAATATACCAGATTTTACTTTTTATTATCTCTTTTTGGTCTTTTAATTATCTTCGAAAAATATTTGCCTTTCTACTAGGCTATAAACTCCTGAAGAGATGGGATCATGTCTTTTTAAATTTCATATTCTTAAAGCATTAGCATAATAACTTACATAAAGGAGACTCTTATTAATATTGGATTCATTGTAAAAGGTAGGAACAAGTTTAGGCAAAACTGTGAGTCAGCTATTTTGCTACCAAATTCTTATTGGCATAAATTAACCTTTTTTCCTGAAACTATGATGACAGAATATGATAATCAACTCTCCAAATAAACTTTTGTTGTGATAAGATTTTTCCCAGAAAGCTAAAACCCTGGCAGAAGAGAATGTACCTCAGGATTTTCTTTTTTTGGAATCGTGATTATTTGGCATGTTTTGTGCTGTTTAGAAGTTAAAGTTAGGATTACTGCCTTCTCTGCATGTTCTCAATTCGGGCAGCAAACATAGGAGGAACAACAGCAGAATGGAAGGCAATGCTCTAAGTTTCTGAGCAATGATTTGCTACCTCTGAAGGACTCAGTCCTCAAATGGAGGGCATGATTTAAGCTTGGAGTAGCTGAACCTCTCTAGGGTCTGCTGTCTGAGGGAAGCTGAAGAATGAGTCCTTGACTGAGCAATGCTCACCTAATGGCATATAGTGATCTGACTGTTAGTGAAGTGTGGTCCAATGAATGTCTGGGGATCCGAAGTTACTTTAGCAATTCCTTCGCTCTGGGTTTTGTGTATGTGTGGGTGGCCTGGTGGAGGTGAAGAATGGTATTGACAAGGGTTGTCTTAGCATGGGAAGAGGCATATGATCTCTCTCCTCCTTGACACAATTTAAATATTTTGGACAATTTATTTCAAGTCATTTTTTGTTTGCTTAGCTAAATTATTTCTATGTCATTATTTTAGAGGGAAACATGTATGTGATGATATATAGTTAATTCTTTTTTTTTTTTTTTTGGTTTTTATTTTTGCTTTAATTCACCCAGCTATGGAACAAATAACTTGATAAACGAACTGAAAACATTGACCTTATGAACACACTTGGACACCTGATGATAATGCCAACTAAATACGGTTAAAGCAATTAGATTTCATTAGGTGAGATATGAAATGTTTAGAAGATGAGAAGAAATTAGCAGAAGACTAGCTCTCAAATAAAAAGTGAGACATGATCTCATTATTTAGTGAAAATTTAAAGTAATACTGAAGTGTACTATAAGTTATTTGTCATGAGCTGTTGCTTATTGGTGATATATAGTTAATTCTTGATTATCCTTTTATTTCACTGCAATTTAATGCAGAATATACCTATACAGCATCATTCTGAAGTGATCATTAAGAATGTACCCAGGTATTTTATTTTATAATGTGTAACTATTCTCTTGGAAGCTTTAGGAAAGATTTTGGAGATTTTTTTCTATTTTGATGAGATTTATACTCATAATTGAATGTATTCTGTTTGGGTTTCTTTCAATTTTTTCAGCTTAAGATTAATGTAGGGCTTACAAACTCATAAATCAATTGTTTTCTTTTTTTTTTAAAGGTTTTATTTATTTATTTAAGTGGGGGAGGGCAAGAGCACAAGCAGGAGCAGGGGTAGAGGTAGAGGGAAAGGCAAACTCCCCACTGAGCAGAGAAGCCTGACTTGGGGCTCGATCCCAGAACCCTGAGTTCATGATTTGAGTTAAAGGCAGACTGAGCCACCTAGGCACCCCTCAGTTGCTTTTCAAGTGAACAAGTGAACAAAAAATGACATGTCTCATGGTTAATTCAGAGGTAAATGCATTTTCCTTTGTTTGTTAGTCTAGAATCTAACAAACATTTTGTAAGAAGCAATCACCAAAAATAGTTAGGAGAAACACATACTCATCCCAGTCACTCCCTCTCCTCCTTATCAGTGAAATTGTGGTATGTATTTCAGTACCCTCTACAGGAGGAAAAACAATACTTGTACAACACCAAGTTAGCATATTTTCATGTTCATTAATACAGATATTAAAGATTGTATATTTCCTAGAAGCATCAACAACTTTTTATTACCTGGATAACCTTTCTTTCATTCAATAAAAATAAACTGAAGGGCTCAGTGGGACCAGGATTCTGCTAGATACTGGAAATGAGACACAGAGCATGACTTCTGCTCTGTGGAGCTTACAATCCAGCTAAGACTAGCAGAAAAAGTCATTACAAGTGCTTTGAAGAAAGAGGGCAGGGTGCAGTAGGAGCAAAAGGTCAATTACCCAGGCTGTCCTTCACCCTGATTTCTTGATTCTTCTTACATTTCAAAATTGAGGAAAGAGAGAAAGGATAGAAGGTATAGTAAATAATGGTATGCACGCATACCTATCTTCCAGGAGGAACATTATTCAGTCAGAATAATAGTTTGTTTCTCAGTCCATGTGCCTGGGAGGTTTGTGTGACTACCGGTGGTATTTGCCCCCCACCTACCCACCCACCCACATTATACCCAAATCCAAAATGAGTAGGGAATGGTGCTGAAGGCATGACAATGTGGAAATTGATCTATTCGGTTTTTCACCTTTCAAAGAAATAAAACCTGGTTGGTGAACTCCTGTAGAATGGAATCTCAGAGGGAAGAGCAGGGTAAGAAAGCCATGGCTTTGTGAGGAGCAGAGTTCAGGGTCTAATTCCTGTTGCCTTATCAGCCTCCAATTGTACCTGTAGGGAGAGCTGATAATATCAACCGAGTACAGAGCTGGGGAACTGGAGTGCCTTGGCTACTTTACACTGACCGGAACAGTGTCAGGATAAATTACAGAAAGGGGGGGTTCGGGGGGGGTACGCAATTGTCCTTTTAGAAGTCTCAACCCTTTGTGGTCATTGAGTTGACACGAATTCACTGAGTAAGGATGGCTCGTAGATGGGGGTGAGGGCTGAGGGAAAGATTCAAGGACTAAGATCTTAAAACGAGACAGGCATTTGCACATGTCACGGTTCAAAAGATGTTGATGGTCCAGGCCGTGATGGTAAACGATCTCAGACTTCTCCAAAGCTGCATTTTTTTTTGTTTTGTTTTTAATTAGAATAGGTAGCATCTCCTTTGGAAGCCAGAATCCTGCACCGCGGCTAACCCTTTCGGCTGGCAGAGGCCAGAAGGCGTGTGTGCCACCGCCCCCAGCGCCGCGGCCCCGGCTGCCGAGCACTAATCCTGCCTGCGCTAGGCGCTCCCTCGCAGCCCGCGGGGCGCGCGCGCGCACACGACCGGAGAGCGCGCTCCCGCCCCTCGCGAGCGCGCCCTCCTTTCAGCCCCCTCCCATCCCACGCGCTGGTCCTCAGCGCCCCCGCCCTCCCAGCGCTCCCACAGCCAGAGCGCCGCTCAGCTGACCGGCGGGCGCCAGACGCCGCGGCTTCCAGTTCGCGAGAGCAGCTGCGGCGGCGCGAGTCTCTCACGCCGACACTCCCCCTGCGCGCCCCTCCCCCACCCGGGACCGGGATTGGGACCGACTGGGCGCGAGCTCGCGGCCGCTCCTCCGGCGCCGAGCGGGGAGCGAGGCTGCAGTGACGAGCGGCGGCTGCGCGGCCATGGGCGCGCCGGTGTCGCCCTAGGACAGGCGCGCGGGGACCGCAGGCGTAGCGGCGAGTCTTTCCGAGAGGCGGCGGCGGCAGGAGCAGCGCGGCCGGGATGAGCGGGAGCGGCGCGGCGCCCGGCCCGGGCTCGGGCTCCTCCCCGGCCGCCTGCCGCTTCGCGCACTACTTCGTGCTGTGCGGGATCGACGCAGACAGCGGGCTGGAGCCCGACGAGCTGGCGGGTAAGGCCGGGCCCCGGCGGCGCGGGGGGGTCCCCTCAGGGACGCGAGGAACGCTGCGGGGACGCGCGGGAGGCGGGTTCTAGACAAAGTCGGCTCCCGGCGGCGCCCGCTCTCCATCCGGACCGGCGCCCGGGCGGCGATTTAATGACATTGTTATTTATTCCGCGTGCAGGGTGCGCTGCTGAGCCCGCGGGCGTCGCGCCGCTGAGGGCGCCCGCCTCAGGCTTTTGCCTCCCAGGCGCGGGGTTATTAATAACCGGGACGGGGGCGGCCTCGAGGGCACGGCCCCCACCTGGCACGCTGTCCCTCTCGCCCGCAGCTGCACGCGGAGGCGTCCGGTGAGTCACCGGGCGCGCTAACTCCCCGGCCTTGCGGCGATCCGCTGCATCCCACCCCCCCCTCCCCGCCCGACTGCGAAGTTCCAGCCCTGGCACGTGACACGGCGCTCTGGCCCCCTCGGGGGAGGCGGCGACAGACCCCGCTGGGCGGCGGGGGTGGTGTCCACCGCGGCGGTGACGGCCTGCAGGGCGAGTGCAGGCTGGAGGCTGGTCGGACTTCATCCTTGACTGTTCCGGGTCCGCGCCGCTTCCCGCCTCGCGTTCGGCGATGACGGTCGTCACCTTTTGGAATCCTGTCTATTTGACGGTGTCACGGGACTAGGGAGGACCTTTGATCGCTTGGGATTTGGCACGACGCTTTGTTGGCACTACCTACACTGTTTCTGAGTTTAATTGTTGGACGTTCTCCCCTCACTTGAGTGCACCGTGTGTTACTGTCAGGCTTTTCCTGGAGGGGCACCTGTCCCTCCTCTTCACCCATTTGATGGCGCACTGCAGGGCCGAGCTGGGAACCGATGCTGGCAAAACCGGCGGTTGAAGGATGATGGGGGGCGGGGGAGGGCGGTACGGAGTGCGCAGCGCCGGGAGGAGGCCGGGGAGAAACGACCGATTTCATTTATTCACGCCTCTTTCTTTCTGCTTACCTTCTTGGGATCTGAATCTTTATTTTTGTTGTTGTTGTTAATGGATGAGACAAGTGACATCTATCGCCTGAACTTTATTTGTGTCAGTGTTGAACACTTAGGTCATAGCTTTCCAGAACAGCTTGCTTTGGACATAGCATGCCTGATTGCTTGCACCAATGTGTATTTTTGTTTTCTCTTTTACTCTTTTGGGGGGTAATAGAGGGGACTGGGAACGATGTGTTAAATAATAAACAATAGAAAAAAATGTGTTCGACTGTAAGATACAGTACTGATCCACCCGTGTCTTTGCTAAGCAAGTATCTTTTTAAGCCAGGTTCACAGCAGAACATTTTCAACAAAAATTGTAAGTCTAGTTTTAGTTAAAGGTTTTTAGAAAAGAAGGATGAGTACCAGATTTTTCTGCATGTGAAGTTATATAGTCATGTTATTTCTTCAGTTAAGATTTCCTGTACATATTAAGAATCGCTTTGTTCTGGTGCCTGGGTGGCTCAGTGGGTTAAGCCTTTGGCTCAGGTCATGATCTCGGGGTCCTGGGATAGAGCTGGACGTCGGGCTCTGTGCTCAGCAGGGAGCCTGCTTCCCCCTCTCTCTCTGCCTGCCTCTCTGCCTACTTGTGGTCTCTCTCTCTCTCAAATAAATAAATTAAATCTTAAAAAAAAAAATCACTTTGTTAAGGGATATGAAGTTAGAAAACATGTCTTCGGAGAGATCTGGAGAGATGCCTCTTTGGGGATTGAAGGGATTATTTTTATTTTTCTAGAGTCCTTTCTCCCCTGAACATCCTAATCATTTGTAGTGAGGGGTCACTTTGAGGCCTTTTGTCAGTAGTGACTGATGAAAGGAAAAAGCCTGTATTTTTTTCTATTTGAAGTCTGTATGCTTAGTAAAACTAAAACAACACCGGTAGGTGTGGCCTAGGACTCTTAAGGCAAGTGCAGATGGCTTTAGCAAAAGTAAGCAGTAAAAAATTAATTTCGAATTCATTTTTTAAACACTAACTGGCTTCTCCTTTTGGAACACTGAGCATGAGTGTGGATGCTTGAGAGTTCTGCTTATAATTGGGTGTTTTGAAATGATATTTTTGTCTGATGATATTTAAGTATCAGTGATTCATTCAACAAATAGTTTTGAAAACCTTAAGGTGTAGATTATATTCCAGGCACTGGGGACAGCTGTGAACAAAGCAGTCAAAAATCCCTGCCATCATAGTGCTTACATTTTAGAGTGAACAAAATGAAAACACATAGTTTGTTTCATGTCAGTAAGTGCTATGAAGGAAAATAAAGCAGGGAAATGAGACTGGGGTAGTGCTGAAAGAATGGTGGGATGGTGGGGTTGCAGATTTTAAATGAGATGGCTAGGGAAGGCTTCACAGAAAAGGAGACCTTAGACTAGAACCTTGATGGAGGTGAGGAAGCAAGCCATGTGGATTGTCTTGGGGAACATCATTGCAGGCAGGGGATACAGTGCGCAGGGAGACTGAGTTTCAAGAGTGCCTAGTTTGTGCAGGTAACAGTAAGGAGGCCAAGGTAGTTGGAGCTGAGGAAGGAGAAAAGTAGTAGATAGGAGCATAGAGAAAGGGGAGGGAAGATTGTGTAGGGCCTGATAGATAATTGTTGAGCTTTTACTCTAAAGTGGGAAGCTACTGTAAGGTTTCGAGCAGTGCAATGAGACTTGATGTACTCTCTAAAAGGATTGCTGGGCTGCCTTGTTGATTAGACTGTTAGGGGCAAGGTTAGAAGCAGACCAGTTAGGAGGAGGTTCTTTTTTGGTATGTGAGGTGGGAGGTGTTCCTGGCTTAGACCAAAGCAGTAGCAGTGAAGTGGTGAGAAGCTGGATTATTTTGGCGGTAGAGCCAGGAGGACTTGCTGATAAGTTGGATATGATATTCATATTCAAAGAAAGTGATCAAAGATAACTGTAAGATTTTTGGCCTAAACAATTACAAGCACCTCTATTTACTGAAATAAGAAGACTGAGAGAAGCAGGTGGGAAAGATGAGTTCAGTTTTGGACATGTTAAGTTTGAGATATCCATTAGACATTCAGATGGAGATGTCATGTAGGCATCTCTCAGGGATCAAAATTTTTATATAGATATAAGTTGAAAGCCATGAAATTGGATGACAATACCTAGGGAGTGAATATAGATAGAAAAGAGAAGAGGCTCAAGGCTTGAATCCTAGAGACACTCCAACATTCGAGGTGAGGAGGATGAAGAGGAAACAACTGAAGAGATTAAGAAGTATGGCCAGTAAGATCAGAGGAAAACAAGAGAATGTAGCATCACGTTACCAACTAACCATCTTGACTGTTTCCACAGAGCTTCATTGGAGAGGAGGAAACAAGGCCAGTGAGTTAGGCAAATTAGTCAGGAGGTTGTTTCTGTTTTGCTGCATTAATTTCAAAGTTAAATATAGTTAAGTTTCTATTTTACTTTTATGGAACTGATCTATTTTTATCACACTGTTTCTTAGCAAGTTGTCACCCTGCCTGTAGAAGGTCTAAGTTCACTTCTGTTAAATGTAAGTTCTACTGATTGCTTTATAGACCTTTTCTTAGCATAGGCATGCTCCTGGAATTCACACTTCGCAGGTGGTGAGGCATTGAAATAAAATTAAGGACCCAAGACTTATGATGAAGTAACAGTTAATAGACTAAAACCTTATAATAAAGTTATTAGGACTGTAGCTTGTTTTTTAGACATTCCTCCTAGTGAAGCCGAATTTTACCAACAGTAGAAAAAACTTCTTTGGTATATATATGTATATACACAAAGACACACACACGCACCCCTTGATAGACTGATATTTCCTATTATCCTTTCTTTAGTTCATCTTAACTGTTATGCTTTTCCTACTCACTGTATATTTTTAAAATACACTTTATCCATAAATAATGTTCCTTTAGATATTAAAGTAGAAACATTTACATTTTCTTTGAGTGTTAAATATATGAAAAAGGTTTTAAATTGATTATTGCATAAAGAAGAAAGAGGTATAAATGGAAGTTGTTGGAATTAGTTGACATGTAGGAAGGTAGTCATCATTTGAAATTTTCTTTCATGCTTCTCATTTCCTCCAAGACCTAGCTGTAGGAATTTACATGGTTTGGTTTACAGCACAAATCTTCTAGGCAGTAGAGAAATTAAGGACCTTTATTTAAGTAATATAAATGTGCAAGTCCCCATAGTACCTTATACTTATTGTTTAATCAATGAATGAGTATAAAGTTTACATAGGAGTCCACAAATTGTGTGGTGGCCAGAATATTCTTAAAGCATTGCAGTGGTAGTTTGGATTTAGTTCTGCTGAAGAGTACTGAAGTATGATGGGTGCAATCCCCACCCCAGGCCCTTTTTGAAATCTCTTCCTTGGTGCCTCTATTTATTTTTAGCTTTGGTTTTCTTGGGTGTGGTTTCCAGAAGAGCTTTGGGGCAGTGAAGACCATGGTCTAAATTCAAAAACATTTAACCCTTGAACAGAGATGGAGGTTAGGAGTGCTGACCTGTCTAATACAGTTGAAAATCTGCATATAACTTTGGATCCCCCAAAACTTTAACTACTAGCCTACTGTTGACTAGAAGCCTTACCAATAACATAAACAGTCAAATAATACACGTGGTATATGTTACATATATGCTGTATTCTTAAAATAACCTAAAAGAAACTTTTTTTTGAAGATTTATTTATTAGAGAGGGAGTAGGCAAGTGTGGGGGGGAAGGGCAGAAAGGAGGCAAGCAGACTCCCCACTAAGCAGGGAGCCTGACATGGGGCTCCATTCCAGGACCCCAAGATCATGACCTGAGCCAAAATGAGGAGTCTGACGCTTAACTGAGCCACCCAGGTACCCCAGAAAAAAAAATATTTTCTTTAAAGATTTATTTATTTATTTTAGAGAGAGAGGCATGCACACGTGTCTTTGGGGCAGAGGAAGAGAATCTCAAGCAGACTCCCCACTGAGCAGGAAGCCTGACCTCTCACCCCTGTGAAATCATGACCTGAGTGGAAAGGAA